ACAGTACTGGCCAAAATTATAAGAACAGAGCTTTTCTCAGAGTGTTAGCGTGTCCTCATCCCCTCTTTTCCTATTTAGACTAATTTAAAAATCAGTATATATACATCCAAGTACTTGGATGTATATATACTGATTTTTAAATTAGTCTAAATAGGAAAAGAGGGGATGAGGACACGCTAACACTCTGAGAAAAGCTCTGTTCTTATAATTTTGGCCAGTACTGTATTTAAAAATGAAATAACTCAGTAAATCTTTAGGATACATGACTGCAACTGTAGATTCAGTTGTTGATGCTGAAGCAGATGGACCTGCTGTTGTTGGACCTAGAAGAAATATAGAAATAGAAAACGAGGATAATGACGAGAAGAAATTTATTCTTACCAGCTGTAGTTGGTGGTGAAGTTGTTGCAGTTGTTACATTGGTGGTAATGGGAGCTGTTGTTGTCACTACAATACCGGTTGTTGCCAACTACAGCGATAGATTCAATAATATTATATGTAGATGAATTATAAATAAACTTACAAGAGTATTGATACTTGTTGTTGATGTTGTTTTTGTTGTAACTGTAATAGTTGTTATTTTTGTTGTTGTTGTTGTTGTACTTGAAACTGCTGGATTCCAAATATTGAATGGCGAAAATGTGGGATCAGTGATGGGTGCCGATTCAGCATCTTTCAAAAGTTATGTCCCAGTTATGAAAAAAATAGATTCATATAAAGAAAAACTTACGACAAAATTCACTTCCACTAGCAAATCCACTATCCATTGTAATATAATAGGATTTTCCAGGTGTCCATGTATAATTTACAACGATCACAATAGTATACCTAGTATAAATTATATTGGATGCATAGTCAGCATCATACAGTACAACTGTTAGATTTGTACTTGCATCTTTAAAGTAGATATTGGCTGAATTACGAGTTGGACGACCAACTAAACTGTTGCTATAAAATAAGAATGAAAGATGAACTTGAGAATCAATAAAACATGTGATATTTATTACAAATATATACCTTGTATGGAAAACATAGTGTGATTTTGAAACACAGTACCAACTGGACTTGCCGATCGTTGTACAACAGTAGGACGAATGAGATCAGGTGATGTATAGTCAACTAAGTATGTGATACACCATGGATCTGATGGAAGACTACTATTATCAAGAGCACTAGCACAAAAACCTTGAGGACCAGACTGTGCTGCAACTGGTGCTCATGTTAATGTCATGGCCCATATAACTAACGAGGGAACATATTTAGGTGATTAAGCGATTTAGATCCCATCTTTTGGTGATAGATAGACCTCAATGAGGTATGAAAAACCTCAAGAGGATTCGTGCCCTCGCGCCTTTATTTCAAAGATACTGAGTTCTCAGGATGTATACGAAAAGANCAGCAGCTGTAAATTCATCTACACTGCCTATTAGTTGAATCAAATCGTCGATATCATCTACTTCATATTCACCATCAACACCTTGATTCGATGGTACAAATGTAGGTTCAATCGAATCGTTATCGACTTGTGCTTCGGCAATAACTTTAAGTAAATGTTCATCACGATCTTTTTTACATTCATGTAAAGGCTGAATATTTTCTATAATCTTCCATGAATGAGCAGAAATAAGATATTTTCGAGATTCGAATGCATCTTCCCATGTTTGATCGATGTCACAAAGATCATTTACATTGCGCCATGGCACAAAAAGTGTGAGTAGTGCACGATTGTATCGTTCTCCAGTATCATCACGATCTTGCCGAGGAATTTGAGGACCATAGAGAACGGGCACATGAACTTCACTATATTTCATGAGTAGATGCGTTGTTGTTTGAGGATGTTCGTTTTGAAAAGGAAATCGCTCATTAGATGGTCGACCTCTTTGATTATCTTGTCTTTTTTCTGTTGTAGAAGATTTTGATAAATGCCTCAAATCTGTTTCATTAATTTTTTTCTTATAAAATGTACTGACAAAATCATATAAACACGTGTCTTTTAGATGGTCTGAACGGTATTGATAATCAATGCGAGTATTAACAAGTATAAAATTGTTTTTATCTTCCGTCGGTTGAACTTGAAAATGTTCTTCATCGTTGTTTTCATCGTTAGTTGCTTCATTATCAAATACATCGTCATCATCAATTGCTTCTATGTGTGAAAAAAACATACATTTTTTAAACATCGTAAATGAATAGCTTCATCATTTCATATATCAATACTTAGTCTTATGTGTATAATTCAACTTGCTTCTCAATACTTATATGTAGAAACAGTACTGAGATCACATTGACGCCTTCTCATCGTACATTACATATTGATGACTACGCTTCAAAGATATATCAAGCTGTTTGTTTCCTTTTCCTTTAATTTTTCACAGATTGATTGTTTGTAGAATGAACGTTGTCCTTCTTCCTACCATTCCTCTTTCCTTTCTGTCTGAACATATACGTGTGTGTGGTTATTCAATTGTTATAGGTCAACTTTCCTTATGTTCAATTTCAGCCTATCGCTATCTCTTCTTCTTCCTCTTTCTTTTTCTCCCTCTCTCTTCTCTCTTCTCTCTTCCTCCTTCTCTTTCTCTCTATGCGTCTCTCACGCTGTACATATAGAAAAAAAAAGATTGTCACTGTATAAGAGCCAATTGAATAATAAGCATATAGAAGGAATTAATTAGACTTACCTTGTGATGTTGATTGAAGATTTTGTTTTGCACGCATTTCATTTAATTCACTTTGTAAAAACCGTTCCGTTTGAATCAAATAAAGGCCTTGAAATTTATGTGTTGTGTAATGGTCGTCCCAATTCATGAGATAAGAAGCAACTTGCACACCAGATAATTCTTGTTGTGAAGCAAGTGCATTATAACAACGTAAAACGAGTTTACGTGATTTTTCAATTACANATCCTTGTAATTCTTTAGGTATATCACCTAACCACATGTTGTTAGCAACTGAAAACTTCGGTATTTTTTCTTTCGAAAGCGAAGTGTGGCATTTTTGACAAAGGATGCACATTTTTACTCTGTTTGTTTCAAGCAAGCCATTTTTGTACAAAATAATATCGTTTTCACAGAAGAAAGATGACGAACCAAAATTTGACTGATCTAAAAAACAACTCTGTAAGGTTTCTAAACCAAATTAATTCTACATACTTTTAATATGTGATGTTGTATGTGTATTGTTATCATCAATGTGAGTGGCCGTATTTTCCATTAAATTTTTAATTAGAATTCTGAGTTCTTCAGAAACTTTCAGCAAATTCATATTAGGAATTTTTGAGATGGGTATTTTCTTCGAGTCTTTTGCTGGAGTGCGAATATTACAAACTGCACAAATGACCTCAGCTAATTGTGACATAGACATCTGTTCTAGAAATTGCTGCAAACGAGTTTCTTTTAAATCCCGAGAAATTGGTTCAGGCCAAAGTGAGCGAATAAAGTCTTGTCCGCCACCAATAGTTTTGTGCTTCTTCTTAGCTCTATTTGCTTGAGTTCCTTCTCTGTGTTTCTGTAGACGAATTGCACGTTCCTCTTCTGTTTCATTGGTTCTGTTGGTTTGCGTTCGTTCTCTGTCTTTCTGTAGACGAATTCCACGTTCCTTTTCTGTTTCATTGGCTCTATTGGCTTGAGTTCCTTCTCTGTCTTTCTGTAGGCGAATTTCTCGTCTCTCTTCTGTTTCAATCATTCTATTGGCTTGAGTCCGTTCTCTGTCTTTCTTCCTTATCGTTCTTTTCTGTTTCGATTTCCATTGAAACGTCTGTTTGGATGAAATCATTGCCGGTGTTATTTTCATTTCGTCGTCATCTGCTCGGAGAAGATTGAAATTCAGGTATTCTTATTTGGGTAATACTATTGTTTTTGACAGTTCTCTTTTCAGGTGTCTAAAGAGTAGTTCCAGGATTCGGATTCATCTATTTAAAAATCACCAACTTACTACAACAGCCGATGCCGATTGACTGTTGACTTCATTAAGAATAGGTGGCGACAGAAGTGGAACAAAATGATTTGGTGTCCATGTGCCACCATACGTTTCTCGAACATCTTTTTCGTGCAAAGTACTTGACCATAAGATTACAATGGTACAATTTCCAATAACAGGTGGAATAGGTGCAAAGACGCTATCCCAAATTGCTTTATAGTATTCAAAATCAATTCTTGGAAACACACTTCGGATGTTGCATTGTAGTACATTGCATAATGCAGCAACTTCGTGTATTTCAGAATACATTCCCTTTTTGCAAGCTGCTTGAATAATAATATCGGTATTTCCTGCATATTGTGCACACATGGCATTGTAATAGTTTTCATTAGTTATAAGTTCAATAACAGTTCGAACTAAAAATAGTTTTCAAATCTTAATTCAACATAACATCAAGAAAAAGGAATCTATACCTCGCAATTCACTAGCTGTCACTAATGGATTATTCATCAAAAGAACAATTGAATTATATAAACAATTTCCATCACCAGGAACATCAGCAGGAACAAGGTGATGTATGTCAACAGTCGCTTTGTCAAGATATTCCTTAGCGACCACATCTACTACATGTTTTGTGTCATCGAAAACATAGGTCGGATAAAATTGAAGTGGTCTCATAATTGAGTCCATCTAAAATATCTCTATTAATTAAATTCGACCATCACTCAAATGAGCTCACTTGTTTAATTAGTTGTGCAAGTGAATTGATTTAATCGCGGTACATGATACTTTTAGAACATGTTTCTAGACGTTGAAGTAGACGCTCAAATTTTAAACCACGATTCATTTGATGACATTGTGAGCAACAATAACTTGCACACAACATAGTGCAAAAAACGCATTGTTTATTCATATTTCCTATCTATATGATAATCTAAAAAATATAGGATTTTTCATTAAAATCAGGTGCTTCAATATTTCTATTTAAAANGATCCAAATATTGTCGTACATCAACGGCGAAATGTGGAGGAGCTATCTTTCTATAAAAAAAAAAACAATTTAATTGCTTGTATTGAATAGGAGATATCAATGAAAACTTTCCATACGGACTTTCGGGACACCCTGTATGTGTCGGCCTTTCATCCTAAGTTTCTCTCTTTCTCTTTCTGCCCGTATATTTCGACTATGAATCTATCTCCATCTTTTGTCCATCCTTTTGCTGTTCAACTTTCGCCGCTGTATAGCTATCAATCACTTCACCTCATTGAAAAATCTATTTTTGCAAGAAGTGTTCTAATACCTTCAACAACAATTCACTTCGAGTTCTTTGAGTAGGAACTTACTCAGCATCATAGTTCTTTTAAACTAGAACTGCTGAAGATTTACAGTTGTTATGAACTAGAACTACTTAAAAGTCCTAGTTCTATGAACTGGAACTGGAACTGTCGTAGGCCTAGTGACAACAGCAATGAGACGTTCTTCGGAACAAACGAGCATCGAAAAACCTGTTCGGTATCAGTATTTTGATTCTTGTTTTGTAGATGATGCCATTTGATTGACTATTCGAAATTCCATATTGCTGGTGGATGTTTATTGACGAGTTTACGAAATAATTTATTTACATCATCAGGTCAAGATATTGATTTATTTTAACTACAAAGATCCATCATACAGCGATTATTTGGATTGTATTGTGAGTTTATTTCTATCGTTCTGTATGATTTACCGAGAAAATTTTCAATTGTTAGAATCAAATCGAAGAAAAACTGTGTCAATATTTTTATGTAAAACGAAATGTTTGTGTTAGAAAAAAAGATCATTAACATGCGATTGTTCACAAATAGTTCTATAAGTGATCTGATGCAGCAGCCAGATTTTATTGATTTACAGTTTATTTTCATCAAAGACCGTTATGCACCAGATGAGTTGTTAACAAAATTTGACATCGATATTAGCCAATTTTCGTTCGATGGAAAAAGGTTATACTGTACGATGGCTGCTGCTCAAGGAATTCGAACAGGAACTATAATTCATTATGCTCTTCATGATGATGATGTCGATTTTGCGTCAATTGCCATCCGAATTGGAAAGTACGTGAGACGTGGTTTTCGACTGTTATATTCGGTTCAATTTAACATCAAACGGTTCGATATGACTCCATTGTACATTAGCAAAAAATGCTTTCCATTACGTCCCAGGTCAACAAATCCTATGCTGGATCCGATCGGATCTGACCGGATCCGACCATCGAACAAAATCCGATTGGATTCCTGGAAACGGAATTGCATTATATTCCGACTGGAAAAATTCCGTCGGTTATTGTAAATTTCATGAGCGATCTTTCTAGCTATATTCTATGATGACCCTTAGAAAATCTGCAAAGTTCATATTTCGGATCCGATCGGATCCGAGTACGGGATTGATTGACCTGGGACCGATTATTACAATATTCAAGTTATACAAGAAGCTGTTAAGAGACAATGTAATATAGCACTAATACAATGGTTTCGTCGTCTGTTTATCAAGAAATTATGAGTAATATCGAATTTGTCCAAGGTTTATTCATTCATCTAGCAGATCATTATTTTTGTGCAAGGAGATTTGATAGTACTCCAAATTACTTCTTTATTATTGATTCTCTGAAACCCGGTCTACATGAGACTATTAAGCAAAAAGAAATTCGACAATACATTAATTATTTATATGAGCATAATGGCTCTATTTATATACCTATCGCCGGTAGTATTTTACACATGGAAACGGTTTCCTTCGAACTCGTTTCTTCTCTCATTCATCCATGACCAGTATCAGAAGCCGACAAAATAACTTTCAAATTGAATGAAAACCGGACTTTTGGTTTGATGGTGAAAAAATCGCAGAATAAATATAGTGTACAATGAAGCATTTGTTTTGAATTGATAGCGTAGTAGTATAATTTCATGGTTGCTACTTATTGAGATCAATATTCTAGTGCCTCACATTTAAATTTACCTGTTTTCGTTTTTGTTTAATAGAGAGTGATCGTACGATCGATATCCAGAGTATAGGTGGTATTAAGCATATCATGGGTAAACTAAACATAAGGAATATTGCGGGCGGGGCTAATATCTATGTCAAAAGTATAGTTTCAATCCAAACTCAGTTTATCTACGAATACGTACTAGAGAAGTATAGATCATTGCTGTGTTTAACGGTGCTTATTCATTGTAATGCTTTTTGTGCAGAAATAAATCATTAATGAGGTTGCCCGTAGATGTTCGTGGACTGGATTGTATGGATATCTAGTGCTTAGCATTTTGAAGATAAATACCACAATTCAAGTACCTCAGTAAGAATTTGAAACTTTTACATTTCGCCTATGCTGAATACATCCTATAATGTTAATACTGAGAATATGAGCACTAGTCACACACAGCGTGTAAACCTAAGAGGTCTGCAAGTCCCTATAGGGTCGATGCTACGAGCATCGTTATTGCAGCAATCGCGGTTGTGATCCTGAGAGTTCTATTGGTGGTTATATGTCGCATATCGTGTATAATACTACTAGCTTCAATAGGGAATATCCATGATATATCTCTCATATGCCGCAATATCTCATATGGTATCACCTGACTGTACAGTAGCTATTCGTCAATGTAGTTTCATTGGCTCATATAGGGCTAGAAATCGCAATATGCATGGCACCAGAGTGGTCGCTGTACTGGGAATAGCACCATTCATGCGTATACAGTGTATTGTTTGTATACAGCTAATAGCTGCAATAGTTGTTGCAATCTCTGCAGCATGTGTAGTGCCTGTAGCTTCTATAGTAGTTTGAGTCTGTATTTTCTGTAGCAGCTATGGCGAATAGCCTGTACGGCGGCTGTAGTCTATGGATCATCTATAGCCTGTATTATCTGTGTAGCGCGTATAGCTTATATAGTGTATATAGACTCTTTGACCCCGTACTGAGTCTAGTCTTTATAGCTAGAATAGCTGCCTTTGGCCCATGAGGGAGGGGGGGAGGGGCAATAATTCTGGATATAGAACTTACGCTCACTATTTTTCTTCGAAAAATAATATGAGTTCTACAAAAGATTAATTATCTCAGAATCACGTAACAGAACCGCTGAATTTCATTGTAGAAGTATCCGTTTAAGAAAAAGGTGTACAGTTGTCTTCGCAGGGCTTTTGCTATTTGCAATATTAGACTATCTTGAATTCTACTTCAATTCTTTCAGAAAAGGCTTGAAGAACCCAAAGGACTAGCGCTATTTGTGCATAAGTACACGAAAAAAAGGGAGAAAAAAAGGCAGAATACTTTATCGTATATAAGCAGCGAATCTCGTCGACCTTTTTACATTCAAACAACGACGACGAAAGCAGCCGAAAAGCAAGATATAGTAAGTATAATTTTTTTTTCTAAATCTAGCTTCTATGCATTCCGTGATCTACAGTGAAAATAACGCTTTTTTAATCAGGATTTTATGATTGCAATAGATCTATTAGCGTATCTATAGCTGCTATCTTAAAATTAGTGACGATTTTATCAGATAGTTATGAATTAACTGAAGAATGAATACAAATATATTATATTTATACATGATTTGAGAGGACAGATAGATAGACAAGTTTCTTAAAACAAGTAACGCGGCCTAGTAGCCGCAAAACCCTCGACTGAAAGGATAGTATTAGAGCGCTACTATTCGTCCAAAGAGAGAAAAAACTTATTTCAGTTGAACGATCTGATCATTTGATAATTTGTCAGAATGTTTTACCTAGACCAATTACGCTTTCTGAAATCTTCTGTAATTATAACGCCTAGTCGTTTGTCAGCCTCTCTCCGGTCAACCACTCATCGCTAGCCGTTGGTACCTTATAAGTGCTTAATGATATTTTCATATTAAAAAATATCTCGTTCTTGTTGAGTCCGTCTCTAGCAAAGTTGCCGAAATTCTTCACAACTTCATGACCTACAGTATATCTTTTATTACCATTTTTGGTTGAATAAGTCGATGATCTACATAGTTTTTTCTTGAAGCTCGAAAAGATGTCATATATATATATACCTTAGAAAAATTATGGCCACTTTGCGACACTCTTATAAATCTCACTTTTCAACTAATTTTCAAAAGAAACAAATAGTCGTTCGTCGGCCTCCCTTCGGTCGGCCACTCACGGCTAGCTGTTCCCATGCGCACTCATTTTACTATCTTAACTTCATTCGGACGAAGACGCGTTCTGCAAATGAGCACATTTCGGAAAATCAATTCACAATCGAAAACTTAGAAGCTTTACATAGCTATATGATTCTCTGGAAAAGGTTTCAATCTTCTCTCCACCACGAGGAACCTTAAATAGCTGTCACCTATGTTCGTGCAGAGCGACGATTAAGTTCTGACCAAGAAATCTTAAAACTCTATAAAAATCACAAAGTTTGTTCTTAAAAATATTATTCTGCAAATCGACGACTAGTCGCTCGTCGGCCTCACTCCGGTCGGCCACTCGCGGCTAGCCGTTACATGTACATTTTCACTCTTCCATTTATTCTAGAGTCACTTTTGAAACTAATTCATTCATTCTCCTCTATTCCTTCTTTAGAAGTCACCCTCTTTGTGCTACTGTGACTGTCGAAGACAACACCTGACCAGCGAAACATTATTTTGAATGACTGGCATCAGATGATATCCGTATAGTATGAAAGAACGAACCAACCAACCAACATCAATTCGTTTTTGTTTTGTAATACCTGCTCGACGCATAACCCTCCTTTCAGTAGAGGGAATAATGGTTGATACACGTATAATGTAGAAAGAACAGAACAGTATCGTTTGAATGAACAAAAGTTATCATTAAATAAAGAATTCAGTTTCATACTCCAATCCACGACTACTATCGGAATAAAAATAAAAGGCAGGTGCGCACAATGCTTATAATATTTTAGCGAAGACAATAAGAGACCTGAATCTTTGATTATCCGTAAGAAGGGTTCTATAGCGTATTGTGACACCTTCGTTTGAATAATGAAGACCTCAGGTCTCTTAACGCCTTTACTAAAATGTTATACGCGTTATACCCACCTGCCTTTTATTTTTACTCCGATAGTAGTTATCGGAAACAACAAAAATGTCAGAATCTTATGTAATTCATCAGTTTAAATGACAAATCATAGATTTGTCTTTTCAAATATAACTTATTATGGTTAGGGTATTTACGTGATTTATTATGAGATGATCGAATGAATATGTGAATCGATTCAAGGAGTTACGTAATTATCATGCCTAATCTTATCTATCTAACATTCATGAGATATCCTAAATCAATTTCATGTCCTGCTAACGACATGATTTTTCATTTAAAAAATATCAGACCTTTCAATTTTTAATAACGTTCATTGCTTATTTCGATACTGATGACGAAATACAGAAAAATAAAGTAAAATACCTTTTACAAATACGATGCGTGACCGTTTCCTCGTCAGATAGATTTTTCTAATGAAAACTGGCCGATTTAAGTACAATTGTATAAGTGTTCTCTGTCGATATTTAAACTAAGATAAATGGCTAATCTGTTATCATGAATTGTAAAAAAAGATGAAGGAAATTCGATTTCAATTTTCGAACTTTCAAGATGTATAACGGAAGAATATCATTCAAAGTTCTAGTTCTAAATTTTCCATTCTTAGAATGCATTCAATATCGTATTTCACAAAATAAAATTCAAAGACATGAAGAGAGATTCAATAGGTGTCGATAAACACATGAGATCAGAAAAGATTGAAACGCTGGACTTTTTACGAGCTGGATTTTTTACTGAAAAACGACAAGCAAAATATCGTTATTCATCACGTTCAGTAAATCAAAGGACCTAACTTTTTTAATATTTTGACTTCATTATGTTTATGCAATGGTATCGTGTTAGAGATGGTATAAACAAAGTCTCATTCAACCTCATATACTATAATACATATTGATCGATAAATATAAACTGAAAATTATGAATCGTTTAACCGATCTCATTCTAAAACGAATGGAATCGATTAAAATAAACTAACGTTATGAAATAGAATCAATGAAAGCGAACGAAAGTCTTAATCTATGATACTGTAAGGTGAAAATGATCAGGCAATAAATAAATTCAACGGTTAACGACAAGATATCATAGTTATGCTGCAATTATAAATATCTTTTTCGACTTAATATTAACAATGAGAAAGAAAGAGAGAAAAAAATAACGAATAATTGATCAAATTCATAAACAAAGAGATTTGATGTTTTCTTTTAGAAATTTACAATGAGAAGAATCGCTGTTTTTTAGGAAACAACGATTCCGATATAGAATGCTAATTTCCTGAAGTTATGATCTTCATCAACGGTATTGCTTTTGTTGAAATTTATCTCAAAGCCAAAATTAAATTAAAAGAACGACGAATTTTCTTCTTTTGTTCGAAAAATCAACTAACACATCATTTTCCCCCAAAATGGAGAGAAAATTTCCAAAGACTTTTCCATTTTTTAAATGGAAACATGAAATGGATTCTGATGTTTGTTTAGTTTCTGTAGGCGACATAAATCTTCCTTTATTCGCCGTGATTTCAACAAAAAAGAACGTGACTTACCTTTATGTTATCGAGATTGCAGTTATTATTTCGAAAAATATGAAATGCATCGGTAAAAGGATCAATATTAATGAAAGATGCTGTATTCACTTGGTGTAGTACCAACCATAATCTTAGAACATCAATTATCTTCAATTCTACATTCTTTCAATAATTTTTTAAAAATTTTGCTGATTGATCTCAACCCATATGGATAAACGATAGTTTGAATGTTAGAGAAATGAAACTATATGTTTGTACGTATACATTATTCCTCCTTTTACTTCTTATCTAGTCTTGAAAAATAATCATTCATGTGCGATAGATATGTGTGATGGTATTTCGTTTATTTTAAATGAGATGATGGATGAGTTCGCATTATACTGGTTTTTATTTCTTTTGTACTTTCTTTCCGAGTTGCAAGAGATAGAGATATATTTAATGAATGAAGTTCTTGTAGATGAAGTAGAATTGAATTTTTTGCTGTAGATAATTTTTTCAATTGTACATTTTTATAGGATAAAGTCTGTCATATATCTCCTTTTTCGGCTCCTAATCAAATTGACCGATATCTAAGAATTTATATTGACTATGATGATCTCTGACTTGTAATTTTTATAGAATTGACTATCAATCAACGTCGAACAAATGCATTTTTTCATTGATTTTTTAGACTGATAGATCGATATTGTTTTCTTTCAGTTCGATATCTTTTTTTTAAATGAAACTCAGAGTAGCTTTTGTGCATTTTGGTTAAAAATACGGACCTACTTAGAATTTCTATTGGAAAAATTTGTTTTTGTTATGCTTTATCATCTCCTCGACGTTTGACGACAATTCACCCTACCGATAGAAAAAATTCAGTTGTTCTGTATATAGCAAAAGAGCTGCTTTCTAAATAATGCGATCAGTGGATCGATGATACCAAACTTCATATGAAACATCTATCAGTATTTCAATGCGCTCATTCTCAACACCATTCAATTAGACTAAGCGTATAAGCATATATTGTTATTTGTCAATGTCCCTAAAAAGGGTCGGATTCCACAACGGATCGTTTCTAACTACCTTTATATCGAATTGTACAATTTGATCATCTTATGTTCATCAATGTTTTCGGTATTTTTCAAAATACTTTGTGATAAATCAAAGGTGATAAGCCACACGCTACGTACCGTGTTATTGTTCGGATAGACAATGTATTAAAAAAATGCCAAGACCTATTGTATTGTGGAAATCGCGTTGTTGACGTTGATCGTACGAAGAGAAGACGTTGAATGAGTAAATACGTGAACTGCTTCGCTATTTATAGTTTAACATGAGGATGATTCAAATCAGTGTATGTGAGATTCATATCAACTCATCTTTTGCTTATTCTAGACTACTTCCTGTCGGTCCCATTCATCCATGACAATAACCATATCTAACTCTTCACTCATCAAGTGTTTCCTGGTCGGTATCTTTTTATTGTCTACGATGTTCATTTACTAATGTCCTACTATCATCACTTAAAAGCGATAGGACTGTGCATTGTTCTTTCTCTTTTCGTTCTCTTTCTTATATGATCACTACCAAGATATAATGCGGTCAAATATACGGATAACATGTTGGCCAGTAGAAAAAAATCATATTCCTTACAATGATAGATGGCGTTGACAAACGGAATAACTTCAGAAAATTGATTTCTTGCAGTACGACGGAATTTATCACAGATGTCGAACAACGGAAATCAGTACGTTTTCCTAAAAGTATGGCTTGAAACATAGCTGTTTGTGGACTAGTTAAGGACGCTAGGACGCTGCTTCTATAGAAGAAAATTCTAAATGCAATACAGAAAATATTCTTTCCTAGTATAACAGCGTCCTAGCGTCCCGTCCAGTAGGGTATGTTTGTGGACTAGTTAAGGACGCTAGGACGCTGCTTCTATAGAAGAAAATTCTAAATGCTGTACAGAAAATATTCTTTCCTAGTATAACAGCGTCCTAGCGTCCCATCCAATAGGATACGTTTGTGGACTATTTAAGGACGCTAGTTCTCTAGAAAAAATGTAGAAATTGACCAGCAACATAAATTTGTTTCGTATTGACAAATGGCTTTTGGTTTCAATTTTTGTTTAAGTTCGATCAGACGACTTTTTATGAAGTTTTGAGGCTTTTTGAAGAAAATGTTTTTTTGACCATTGCCCCTTGATCCTTGACCCTGACCCTCCCGNTCCATTCATTATCTTACCATTCAACATCAGATGTCATCTCCAACACATCTTATTATTGACTACATTTCTTTGCTCATCTGTATATTGAATTTTAATTTTCACTTTGTCATTCCTGAAGATGTATTTCAGAACAGAAGTACGAAAGCTCGAATCCTCTTTATTTCTGTATGAAATAAACTTATTGACATGATTTTCTCGGCAGTTATCTCTTTTCTTTCTTATCTATTTCCCACTGCCCTTTCCCCTGGATTTATGTTAAATCTTAGTTGTCACGAGGACGACTTTGGAATAAAAGCGGCTTGGACATTCACTAGCTCTGGTCACGGAAAAAGCGGATGCGATGGCTTAGGTGCGGTTGTTAAATCGGGCGGTCGAAAACATTCACTTAAGGGTGGTTCTGAGGCCGCGTTTACCACTGCCAAAGATTTTTACGCCTTTGCGTTGAAGAAATACAGTCGTGCGCCGCACCAGCCGAAAGTCACACATTCGAATGAATCATCTGATGCTAGTTCTATCACTACCAATGATGAATTGACAGATGACGAGATGGATACTATTAGTACAAATTCCAAAAGCTCGATCGAAGTACGGTGGTTGGATGCAGACGAAGTCGAAGAAACGTTCGAACAACATTTGAAGAACCGGTGGAAAAAGCTATCAGGAAAAAGTAACATCTCAATTCTATCATAACACAACGTCACTCCTCATTCCTTATAGATCGAATCGTAGGTATTCGTTCCTTTCATCAGTTCGATGTTCTTTCAACCGGCGTGATGGCATGCAAATCTACGTCAGTATCCCTTGATTCAAAGATTTTCCATTTTGATCAGCAATGCAATAAACATTATAATTCACTTGTGAAACGATTACTTAATTCAGACGATTTTTCCATTGATGTGTTTCTGATTGTGGAATTAAGCAACAACTTACATCTCGCCCGAATCAATCGCAATGGTCTTTATAATAACCAGATTCAAACCTTGATTTATTTACCGTCGTTGCCAGCAAAGAAACTTTCTACCTCCAAATCGTCCATTACCCTCATTTCAATCAATAACGTTGTTGGTTCTTTAAATCAGCCTCCGATGCAAATCACAGCAAACAAAGTAACACTTTCCAATGAACAACTTGCTTCCATTCAAGATATTTGTGATGAGCTTTGAGCAAATTTCTTCCTTTTAGCGCATTTATTAGAAATATTTAATAAAAAATCAGTTCTTCTCTATACGATTGAATAGGTTTTCATCAAAATTAATGAATAATATAGATTTACGGACTAGATTACTGTTTCTTTTTCATAGTTGTTCTTCTTATCTTGTCGAAAAATACTAGCTAAAATGTGTACGTTGTTGCATCACTAGCAGTTTGTTCACGCAAGTAGTAATGTTCATCATGAACAGATCTGTTTGCTGTCATAATGCAGTTACAAAGCACCACAAGTAATGAAAGACTCGT